CTTCTTCTTCTTCTTCTTCTTCTTCTTCTTCTCCTCCTCCTCCTCCTTGCTCGGTTGTTGAAGCATCCGAAGGACATTGATTGTATTACACTTCTTTATCACGCTGTAAGCACTCTCTCACAACTATTAATGTGTATTCACGTGTTAAATTAAATATTCTGATGATTGATTAATATATCAGACTTTTACCAACATTCCCTGTCACGTTTTTTTTAACTATCCCACACTCACTGAACTAGACAAGTACGTATTAAATAGCAACCGTTTGAGGACTCTGTGGCCTACATGTTTTGTTCGATAATCTAAAATGCATGTACGTATTTGTCCCCATTCTATAATGCAGGATGAAGATTGGTAAAAGTTTATTCATAAGATTTGGTGGTACGTGGGAAGACAACACAAACTCGTATGTCGGTGGTGAGCTGAAAGGAATAATTGTCCCACTTACAATAACGTATAAAGAACTGAAAAATCGGTTGTACAGACTGATGAAAGTCGACCAGAATGGGTACGACCGGGTAATTAGGGTACTGTACCACTTGGCATGCGATTCACCGCCAATGTTCGTAACGGATGACGATGACCTCCAATTTGCATTAGTCCAAGAACAGGTTTCTAAAGTCCCACTGTTTGTATCGACCGTCCCTCGCGAAAGTATTGACATACAGTCATCTAGATTAAACCAAGATGGAGCGCAGTCCATTCCTAATGGAGGATCTGTACCGGAAGAAGGTTCCACGGGGGTAGATGAGTGGGGGTTGAACGACGTATACATGCAGGACATGTACAGTTCAGACTGTATATACACTCAAGACTCGGAATTGGTCGCCCCCACGACGCGCATGCCTCCCGTAATGCATGTCTCATCAGATGAGATAAATAATACAGCACAAGTACAACATGCAAGTCCTCGTACGGTACATGTATTCCCATTTGATGAATTAAATAACACATCACAAGTACGACATGCAAGTCCTTTGACAGAACATGTTTTCCCATCAGTAGAACCCTCATCCAGTGACCCTCGTAATGTTGGTGATCACCAAATACCAGTACCTCAATCCCCAAGCACCGTGACTATAGAACAGGCCAGAAGGTACAACCTTTTACCAGGCGGATCAGAACTGCACGTGGGGAAGATATTCGTTTCAAAGCAAGACCTGCGTATGGTGCTGTCAAATGCAGCGATGCGATCTAATCGTGAATACAAGGTCAGTAGGTCAACGAAATCAAAGTTTACTGTTCCCTGCATCGACAATACATGCAATTGGAGGGTTGCAGCCCACTCCGTCGGTAAATCTTCGATATTTTGTATATCAAAGTATGTAGATGCACACACCTGCACGATTGACAGTGTGAACCACGACCACAAACAGGCGAGCAGATGGGTCGTAGCGAATCTTATTAATGATAAAGTTGCTGGAACCGGTCGTATTTACAAGATAAAGCATATTAAGGAGGATGTCCGTAAAGAGTACGGGGTGAACATAAGTTATGACAAGGCCCATCGAGCACGAGAGTTAGCATACGCTATTGTTAGGGCAGACCGGAAGACTCCTACATACATCTCCATGCGTACGGTGAAGCGATAAAAATAGAGAATCTAGGTACTATTTTCCACCTCGAGACTGAAGGTTCGCTTAACTTCAAATACCTGTTCATGGCATTGGGTGCCAGCATTAGAGGGTTTCAGTCAATCACAAGGCGTGTAATTATGGTTGATGGCACACATTTGAAGGGGAAGTTCAAAGGAGTGCTACTAATAGGTGTCGCCATGGACGGGAATAATCAAATATATCCACTTGCATTCGCGATTGTAGACAACGAAAGCGATGCATCGTGGAAGTGGTTTATGAAGAACTTGAAGGACATGATCGGAGACCAACAAGAACTTGTATTCATATCTGATCGACATGTAAGTATTACCAATGCAACAAGTGAGATATTCCCGGATGCATTCCATGCTATATGCACTTATCAACTAGGGAACAACATAAAGTCTCGATTCAAGAATGCTGCATTTTACAAATTGTATCAGGATGCAGCGTATGCGTATCGGAAGTCACAGTTCACGTACTACTGGAACCAGATACTGTCGATTGGATCGGGTTCACTTGCCAAATACTTACAAGAAATTGGGATAGAACGGTGGGCCCGATGCTATCAAGTTGGTAGAAGATATGAAAACATGACGACAAACAGCGCTGAGTCGGTAAATGCCATCCTTCGAGAGGCTAGAGAGTTACCAATCACTAAGATTTTCGAGTTCATCCGCGAATTGCTATAGAGATGGTTCCACGAAAGAAGGACTAACTGGTCCACCCAAAACACCTCTCATTCAGACTATGCAGAAGAGCGACTTGCAGTACAGTTTGAGAAGTCTCGTCGCTACACAGTCAAACCAGTCGACTGGTGCATGTTTCATGTTGAGGACGGTGGCTTGGGACGGGACGGTTGATTTGAATGCCCGTACATGTACATGCATGGAGTTCCAGTACATGGGCATTCCATGTTCGCACGCAATTGCAGCAGCGAGGCACAAGAATATAAATTGCCACACGTTGATCGATCCATGCTACAGTGTGGACTCCCTAATTAGTGCCTACGCTGAACCAATCTTACCGGTAGGCCACATGTCGGAATGGAAAAGGCCAGCTGATTACCAGCCTATTCCCGTCCAACCACCACGTCTTGTTAAACGTGCAGGCCGGCGTAGAACGCAATGGATCGCCTCAACCGGTGAGCGTCGTGTTGTGAACAAGTGTTCTCGATGCGGTACATCGGGTCACAATAGACAGACATGTACTAACCCAATTACGTAGGCACGGACATCTAGATGCATATATGGGGGGGGGACGATGTAAGTCAATCAGATAGGGCAGTTCCTCCTCTATGAGAACACCCAACTTCTGTAGTAGTATATACATTTAATCTTCAGTATCTGGAATCTGTCTCGCTTCATGGCTTATTTTGTCTCGCTCTCGTTGTCTCGATCTCGCTGTATCGCTCTCGTTGACTCATTCTCACTGACTCGATCTCGCTGTCTCGCTCTCGATGTCTCGCTCTCGATGTCTCGCTGTGTCGATGTTATGCTCTCGATCTCATTCGCTATCATTCTTCTCCATGTATATTTATAATATCGCAAAGATAAGATAACAACCTATATTTCTCGCTATCTCGCTTTCTAAATTTCTCAATTTCTCTCTTTCTTGTTATCTCGCGTTCTAGACGTATGTATCCATACCCACTTATCTTATAATTAAGAGGTTAGTAAGAGGGAGGGTGGTTAATTAATGCGCCCTTTCAAATCCTCAGTCCCAGTTGTCTTTCCACTTTCCAATGCAGTAATTAATTACTCTTCCTCTTCCTTTCTACCCGTTATCCCAATTTTCGATTTAATTATTTTTTCAATTTTCCATGAAACCAACCAAGAATTTCTCTATATATAGATACCACAAAGTACACAACAACGACATCCAGA